CAAGGAGCTCATACGCGTATCTGGCCGTAAGAGTTCGTTTTATGAACTGTTTACCGCCGTAAAAGTCAGTTTAATGTGCCGTCCGCAGTCATAACTGTCGCCAGTGATGGCTGGCGCTGGGAAATAGCGGAAATTGCCGAGGTGCTGACTGCTGAGGTGCCGAAACGACCGAAATCTTCGCACAGGAAAAGACACAGAAGCTGGGCAGGATCAAATTCGAGAGGCGTTGCGTTCCCAAGGAAGCACTTGGGAGCCCTACTGCCGACTGTCGATGGATGGGCGACAGTTTATCTTCTGTTTACAGTCGTAAATGCCGTTCAATTGCCAGCCAGTCGTCGGATACTTGTATGGCATGGTCGTTTGGTATTTCAAATGTAAAATGCCCACGGCAGACAATTAAAATTATAACCAGTGGTGGGTCAGGGATCAGGGGAGTGGGGTTACTGCTAGTGGTAGTGGTAAGATGGAAGGGTGGAGGACGCAACCAACTGCCATGTTTGTGTGGAAGGCAGCACAATGGCCGTGTCTTGTTGTCATCCTCGCTCACCACACTTTACGACTTTTCCTTAATCTGACAGATACGTCACGGCCGCTCCTCGTATCTTCTCCGCTCAGGTAAACGAATATCTCACAGTCCGGTCCGAGACCTCCTTATTAAATATGATTGTATTGGGTGAAAGTCGGGAAATTCGCGCTGACATCTGTTCAAGTGGCTGGCAAAGGAGAGCGGTCGCTTTCAAAGGGGCCATTGCATCGCATAAAAATTATGAGAACGGTTAGTTGGCACAACAGAACAGATCGATAACAACCAAGGGATTAGATATGGAGGGGCAAGCGGTTTCCCCGAAAAACGCCTCGTAAATTGCCTCAGATCAAAACAATTGGAGTCGGTGCAGGACGAAATGTTTATTGCAAGAGCAGTTGGCCAATTGCGCGCCCTGCTCCTCCAATGATGGCGAGATGGCGATAACCGGGGCAATTTTCAGCTCAGCAATATTATGCAATATAAATCAGCAAATGGCAGCGCCACCCCAACTCCAACTCCCAAAATGGTGGCGGGTGGCCAAATCCAGCCAGCGGATAAGGCAAGGTGAAGGCCGCGGCCGGGGGGATGGTAGCTTTAATTCGAAATGATAACAGAAGTTCCGAAAATGTAACAAGCCACCGTGAAAGCGAAGGGAAACAAAGCCGACTTCTGGGCTTCTGGGCACCATTGCCCGCACAGTGGTTCCGCCTGGCGGTCACATGCTACTCGGTGGGTTACGATATGGGTTATTTTAGGGCCATCAAGGACAGCACCCGCCATTTAATCGGGCAGTTAGGCGGGTTGTCAAGGCCGAAACCCATATTTTTAGATGACAATTTTCAGATTTTCAGAGGAAGTCGCCTAAGAAACCAGAAATAGTTTTGAAATAATAGCATAGAAAATAAAACCCCTAAAGAAACATGAAATCACTTGAGTTTGATGCATTAGGAAAGTAGCTTAAAATAGTTGTCAGCCTTTCGAACATTTCGGTTTGACACACTTTGAAGGATTGGTTCTGTATGATTTATATAATATAATCTTTTGAATTGTAAGTTCTTTTCCTCAAAAAGCGTGCTATCGAGACCACTGTGCAGCCAACAAGGATGGCTGCGTTGTACCTGAAACCAATTCGACCTCTCTCCTCGGCTTCCAACATTCCATATAAATTAGTCTCGTGGGTGCAATTTTATTAAATCAACAAAAATTTGCAATGTTGGCAACGTGTTTCAGTTCCAGTCCTAGTCAGTCCTCCAGTCCTTCAGTCCTGCAGCCCTCGTCCCGGAATTCGAGGGAGCACTAAGTAGCCGTGGTGAAACTACCAACCTCGGGGTGGAAGGTTGGGGGATGTCTACGGACTGGGTTGTTTCGGCTCTGGGGTACTCGTATTAAAAAGATTGTGTTCCATTTGAATGCGGTGCACATTTGTCGGTTGGTTTCTTGGCGGATTATTATAATATATTGAAGATCGCTTAGTTGAAATTTAGTGTTAATGCCAATGGGGTCTTCTGAGCGCAATAAGAGCGCCAGAATGGCAGGGCAAATGGCGTTTATTCACAGTTCCTGCCTTCTGGATTGTGGACTGTCGACTTCTTTCATTCTTTGCCCAGGGTAGAACATTTTTGAGAATGCTTATGACAGTTTTCGAAGAAATAACATTGCTTTTATTAGATTCGATTTGATTTCCTAGTTTTTGAATTTAATCGCATATATTAATATCATCTAGCTCTTCGCTATCTGAGTAAGAAGTATATTAGATACTTCGCGGCACTTGACTATAAAGTGTTATCTTTTGTTTTTACCTATTTTCCCACTTTTAGTACATTTTTTTCCTAATTAAAATGAAAACCAATACCTAAAACCTTTTGGGAAACGTCCATTTTACACTTCGCCTACCATTTTAAATTAATTGAATTGAAAACTTCACTTTCCATTTCCCCTGCCGAACTTTAAATTGAAATCGAAATTGAACGGGAAAATTGTGATAAATGAGTGCCCTGGGCTTTAAAGCAGCGTTTGGCGAGTGCCGGGTGAAAAAAGCAGGAAAAACTCATTTCGCAGTGTTAATAAATTATGATGTAGCAGCGCGGCGGGATGTGAAATTTGCAACAAGAGATAAAGGTGGAGAGAAGACAACAGCGGCAGAGGCATCCGCCATGTCCATAAAGGCCTACCCGGATACATGGCCAATTTTTTTCCGGCGGAGGCATGAAAATGTTCCAGGGATAAAATCAACCTGTGCATTCGCAATGAGCTGTGAGCTGGGAGATGTGACATCTGTGGAGTGGGGATGGTTGAAGATAGCAACGCATCTGACTCGGATTGGTTTTGGGATTGGGTCCCTTTTTGCACATGTTAAACAAAAACACCCTTCGCAATGGTTTCCCGGGGTGGGGACGCCATCGAAACGGGGTGTTTTATGCGTTGTTTTATTTATGCAAAATTATGTTTCAATTAAACGCAACGCACTCGGTAATTGGCCGCCATTTTGTCGGGCTGAAAGCCAGAAATCCTGAAATCCTGTATCCTGAAATCCAGGACGCGGATGGCAACATCTGCGATGAGCTGTAATTAGGCCTCGCATATGCCGCAGCATCCACAATCCGCAATTTGAGTCGCGGGCTGGGACGGAATTTAAAGTAGGATCAGGGCGTTTGCGGCTTTGTTTGCCCTGTCAAAATATTGTAATTCTTTTTCGGCCGGGCTCAGTTCGCTAACGAATTTGAATGCCATAAACTGCCAGAGTTTATGTGCGATTTGGCATTAGAATTACACGGCCGACTAAGCCATCCGCGGTTTCGCGTAGTGGCGATTCGCGTAGTGGTGGAAATACAGTTGCACAATATGAATAAAACATGGGCTTAGATCGCGGATTGCTGGAAGCAGCCATCTGAATTCTTACAACATTTTAATACATCAATTTTTTTAGGTAGAAGATGTTACTGATAATGTTTGACCAGACTCCTAAATCGCCATGAAATAATTTAACGCTGGTTGTTTCAAGCATGTTGTTTTACTCCTTCGCTCTACGTATTAATTATATAATACTTATTAATCAGGGGACAGTTTGCCTTAAATGGTTTTGGCAGAGCACATAACATAAAATATATATATCACGTCGGTGATCGCCTTTTGGGGCAGTTTGAGCGACGCAGAAAAACTTTTCCAATAACAGCATCCAAATGTGAACTTATGCCCGGCCCGTCTACGTGCTCAGAATGGAGAGCGGCGACATCCGCCGTGAACCCAATAAGAAACCCAGAACGAACCCAGCCAGCTCCCTTTCTCACCCACATGCCCCATGCCGTATGCCCCATCAATGGGGCAATCTTTGGAACGCCATTCTGACGTTTTCGAAAGTTTCTTTTATTGCATACATGAGCCATTTGGTTGCCGGGGCTTCCGTTTCCGCCGCCGAGGACTCAGCTCGTTGACGCTGCCATTACGCTGTCGCAGCTCCAGAAACAGGATGGGTATGTCGTCTGGCCAGGATTTGTACCCAGACCTGCCAGTACCACCAGGCCCCTCGTTCGGTTCGTCCTCCTGCGTCCTTCGTCCTTCGTCCTTGCTGGACGCACATGTGGGCGTGCCGAAAATGGCGTCGTTATGTGTGCGCTTATTATCATAATCTTTTGAGTTGTTGGCGCATTAATTAAATTTAATTAAAGGCGTTCTGCAACATATCCGCATACGTGCCATACTGCCAATTGCAAGGCCACATCTCAAATCTCCCTTTTTCGAACTCTAACCCCAATCTTCCCTGCGACGAGGCATGAAATCAATTTGCGCAAAATGGCATTCGCTAATTAATATTTTCGCCAGCGACATTAGCAAGTGGGAATTTATGCCTCGAATGTGAATATATTAATCTATTGAATGGACTTGGTACTAAACACATGCGCTGATATATGCCACGATTCCTTGGAAGTATTCATTACATATATCAAGCTTTATTGGGATACAAAAGTACGAGTATACTTGGTGTACGCCGGGAATTTGTACTGCATGGTTTATGTAATGACTGGGCTTGAGATGCGTATCCCATAATTAAGTCTACTTAATACATAAGCCTTTTGTAGAAGGCATATGGTTTTCATTGAATTTTAGTTCCATCTTTACACTTTTCCCAAGACAAGTTCCATATACAGAGCACCCACTCCTCAATCAGTTTCACACAAATAATTGGTTTTATTTATTTATTATTCTTCACTGCAGTTGTTCGCTTATGCTAACGTTATTTTTAATTTCTTTTTTATTTGGGTCGCTCATAGTTTCATATTCATTAATCCCCTTGGCTGAAATATGTTTGCACGCAAACGAATTATGCTTTCTAGGTTTTATCCATTTACTTAACATAAATAGGTGTCATGCAGTTTTATGTACAATTACGATGGCAAATATTTGGGAGCCCCTCGATCGGTTTCGGTCGGTCTAATACTAGGATTTTTTAGGTTCGAATATAATTCAGTTACGTATATGCGGGTTCTTGAACTATCGCAATCTCCGAATACTTCCGGCTGAGTGAGTAAACTTGGTTGGTTAGTAAATAGTATCGACGTGATTCTACGTATATATGTTCGTTAGGCATTATCTAATGTTAAATTTGATTTGGAGTTTTTGGACCTCATCGAAAAGGTCAGCGTATGGATGGGTTCTCGTTGCAGTTGCTTCCCAGTCGGAGTAAAACAAAGGTGTTTTTAATTTTTTCGCATTCATTTGAAAATCGCATAAAATTATATAATACACAATTCGTCACAACTAAACTTAAAGTAAAATTAACAGAAGTTTTAGCATTAGGGTTCAAACAAAATATTGATTTACGCGCTAATTTGCTAGGCCGTCCAAATAAGACTAAACATTTAACTTAAACCAAACTGAAACGCAACAAAAACCAAAACTGAAGCGGGAACAGGAACAGAAACCACTCAGTTTCCTTCAATCAAGTCGTGAAACAAGGCAAAAGGTTGTCGCCACCCGGGAATATCACTCGACCAGTGGGACTCGAAAACAAAGGACTGTGGGACAGTGGGATAGTTGGGATCCCATCGAGAAAAACATGAGCGCTGGTTGGGGATGCTTATTTTTGGTGGTGACTGGTTTTGGGCAAAAGGTGACTTACTTTGACTCGACTGCTTTTAGTGTTAACCATACTAGATACACATACATTTAGGTGTTTATACATACACATGTTAGTTCATAGTTGTATATATTTGTAATATATATTCATATATATTTGTCAATAATTGTTTATGTAAATACGCGCTGTGTAAGCCTTTGCTTCCCTTCGCTTCCCTTCCCATCGGTTGTGTATAATAAATAGAGTTTCTGACTTTAATTCAACTTGCAATCCGGGAGAGACTACGCTAGGTAAATTTAATTTCGGGAAGTTTGAAATCTACGTATATGGGTTCTGCCGATACTTCCATTTTTAAAACACCCCTTTCTTGGCCTTCCTCGACAGTTTGTTTGTGGTTGCAACCTTAAGCTAATACGTATTTCAGAGTTTCCTTTCGTTTGTTATTTTATTTGTAGATTTGTAGGCCTTTCAAGCGATGCCTATTGAGTTCTTCGCTTAATGGTAGTTAATTTAAAATTTTAGTCACTGGCAAACGACATTTAATTTCTCAGCTCCGTCTGACTCCACTTTTGTTTCATATCTCATTATTAATATTACGTATTTGAAATCGTGATTATGCTTTTAGGTATGTTGCATACCGTTTGTTCTTACAACTGGTATTATGGAAATACTTGCGCAAGTGTTTTGCGTACTTTAGCTGCTTAATTGTTTACTTTCTCTCGAGTTAAGATTAATATGGCATTGAAGAAATCATTGTATTCAAGCGTTGGCATACAACGAAATACAGCAAACACACAGTAAACACATCACTTAACAAAACATTGGAAGAGGGTTTTTTTTTGAAAACATAAACATAAATCTCCAATAAATAGGTGGATACAAAACGTACGCTTTATAACTCTATAGGTAAGTATCTTTAATCTATAAGCATATCCATATTATTATGTATTCATATATCGTTTAACATAGTCGAACGTGGCTCTAAATATCGAACTAGGTTATTCTACAGCAGTCGCAAATAATTTTACACTCGAATCCGTCGAGTTGCCCCCCAAAACCTCTTCCATTGGAAGTTGGTTGGTGGCGGGCACCGGAGTTCTCTGACTATCAAAAATCGCTCATTTCGTCAATATTCATTTATATAGATCGCGTCTCCTGCTAACTCCTTCCTTAGGCGATTACCGCTATTCTAAGTAGTTCAAGTTATCCATTAATATTACCGAACTGGGCCCGTTGGCCCAGAGACACTGCACTGGGGGTTGAATTGCCCATTTAGGGGTTGCAAAAGAGAAAGTATGGAAGAAATGTCGGATACACAAATTCCCACTGGAGATCTGGAAGGGAATCGCATGCGTTGCTCTATCAAATAGGCCACTGCAGTTGGGGAAACCTCAGAAAACTTCGATCCACAGCAATAAAACCCGGTCCAGTTAATCGCCTCTAAGCCATCGCACCCAGCCATTTGCGTGTATGTATGTTTTTTGTAGACTTATGCAACTATTTACTATGTAAAACTTTACGTATTTTAGTTATCGAGTTCATCTTCTGCTTGCTATCTCGCGCGCTACACAGACGAGGAGACGAAAAATAACGCCGGACGCTGATCCTGGCGGTGGCTGCGGTGGTGGTGCTAGTGGTGCGGTTGGTGGAAGAATGGCTCGTTGGCTCGGCTGGGCGATGGGTGGCTATCAGCTTAAGAGTTGACCTTGCTGACCGCCTTTAGCAGGTCGTGGTTGCTCTTGTCCAGGGCGCTCATCATGCCCAGATTGCCCCCCAAGCCGCCACCGATGCCCGGGCCGATGCCGCCCACTCCGACGCCCACGCCCACGCCCATGCCAAGGCCGAGCTTGAGATCGTTTTGACCTACCACGGAGTGGTGCAAGTGGCCCGGGTTGTGTGCGATGATCGAGTGGTGGTCCTGCGGCTGCTGTTGCTGCTGCTGGTGCTGTTGCTGCTGCTGCTGTTGCTGCTGCTGCTGCTGTTGCTGCTGCTGCTGCACTTGCTTGTTCTGCTGGGCGGATTTCATCGTCTCCTGGGCCTTCATTTTCTCCTGCTCCTCGCGATCGCGTCGCGCCTTCATCGAATATAAAAAAGGGAACGCAAGTTAGTGGGGAGTGAGGAGTTGAGGGTCAAGCCGCCCCGGGAGGACCAACTCACCTGTTCATTTATCTCCTTGACGGCTCGCAACTCCTTCTTCAGCTTCATGCGCCGGTTCTGGAACCAGATCTTGATCTGCCGCTCGGTCAGGCAGAGGGCATGTGCGATCTCAATGCGCCTTCGCCGAGTTAAGTAGTGGTTGAAGTGAAACTCCTTCTCCAGTTCGAGGGTCTGGAAGCGAGTGTAGGTCTGGCGACCGCGCCTTCGGGGACAGCCGTTGGGGCCTGCGGAGGAGAAAACGGAGAAAGTCGCGTCAGATGCTTGCAACGATGTTTAAGAAGACGCTTTGGCCTTTTTCGCCAACGCCTAATGACCTGCTGAGACGGTGTCGGACGGTCGAAAATGGCACTTGGGCCAGCTGCAGCACATGTCAGCCGTCGACACATGATTTGTGCTGTGGGATGGGGGTTTGGGGGTTTGGGAGTTCGGTGGTTCTGTTCGGAGCTACACTGCGAATGTGGGACTGCAAATTGCGAGAAAAACAAACAGATTGTTCCAAAAGAGCGAGAAGGGAGTGATCTGATGCTAGACCTGACGTCAGCAGCCGGCGCCCCAGGACGTCAACACCCCGGGGTCCATTGCGGACCTGATTCCGCTGCGGATTGGCATCGCACGCAGTGCGTGGAAGGGTGAAGCTGCCAATACCGACACCGACTCGCCCAGCGGCAGGTCTCGCCCTGGTGGCCAGCAGACAGCGCTTTTCTTCGATTTTCCCCGCATTCCTTTCCCTACTTTCTTGTCTCATTTTTTGTTTCTTTTTTTAGCAATTTTCCATGCTACCTGTGCGAATTTTTTGCGCGACGGTGCGGAGATGCGCTCGGAATGGCACAGGCTCCGTGTTTATGTTACGGAAATCAAAAATTCGCTATCTACAAATTGCTGTCCCAGTCCCAGCCTAACAGCCTCTCACTTATACCCGCTTGCCGTTTTATGGCTTTCTTGTCTCTTCTTTTTGCACTGCCGCCTTTGTGCCGAGTTTTTCTGGCAAAAGGTTTTCATGTCAACGGCAATTTTTTATGGTTTGCAAGTTGCGACTTTCCAACGGTAACCGTTGAAGCAGACGAAATAAAAAAGGGACAATTTTTACGTAATATTATGAAAGGTGCAGATTTGTAAATTTTGCTCGGCTGCAGTTGTAAATCACTGGGATTTTGTCTAGTTTCCGCTGCATTTTTTATGAGACTTAACAGTTGGCAAAATATTTACGGACGCATGAGGCCGTGACATTTGAATTTACCTCAGCCGATAACAAGTATTGGTGATTCACTGGTGGAAAATAAAAAACCCTAGCTCCTGTTTTTCTGATGTACAAGACAGTGTTGTTACGAAAGAAATTGATTTGTATTAAATTTACGTTGATAGCTAACCTATTAGTTAATAGCTAAAAAAATAGGTTAATAGCTGCACAAGAACAAGTTAAAGGGTTCTAGCATATTTTAAAAGGGGCTTAAAAAGAATCGGTTTATTCAATTCCATTACACGATAATTAAATTCAAATTAATCCTTTAAATTAATTTCCCGTTGCACAAACACTACACTCTGCTTTTAATTTAAGGAGAGCAGCAATAAAATGCGAAGAACATTGTCACTGGAGTGGACGTGGACGTGAAATAGTGGAAAGGGGAGCAAAAAGGGGGCAAAAGCAATTTCAATTCTAATCAAGCCCCCTTCCCGCCTTCCCCTCTGCGATCCTGTGGCCAGGAATACCAAACTAATCTAAATTATTTACACGCTACAATGAGCAGCTACAATTCGTCCCATAAATCACGACTCCCAGGACACACGCGCCCTAAACAAGATTTACGACCCCCGCAATGGCCGCCAATGGCTGAGCGCAGGTGCGAGCGAGATGGCTGCTCGCTCGCAGGACGGAGTGATGGAATCCAACATGGCTGCCGCAGTGTCTGCTTCGCACAGGTAGACACACACACTTGGCCAGGGAGAGATGGTGAGAGGGTGAGAGGGAGAGAGAGAACGTCGGCATGGCAACGCCTGAGTTTTTCTTAGTGTGAGTGGTGAGTCGGCGCAGCCAAACCGGAATTCCGAAGAGAGCACTCACACGTGGATGTGCATGTGGATGTGGCTCTGAGCGGAAAGGAGAGCGCTCAGTTTGAGTCACGGCCCAACTTTGTTATTGATTTTCCAATGCCAACTGCAGTTCCACTCATCTCAAAAACTATTCGAAAAGCGTTAAATCCGCTTGGGAAAAATCTACAGTCTACGACTGTTTCAATTCTGGTTTCGGATTTGAGTGTTTGAGCGAGCGGCTTTGTGGGGGACTTTTGAGGGTTCATTGATCTTTCTAAAAATTATGATTTCAAATTAATAAGGAGAGTATTTAGGAGCTCAACGAATTCCAAAGGGTCAGGAGAAATATTGTCGAGTAGTACAAGCATTTCAGAACTAAAAGGTATTTTAAAAATCCTTAATTGTTGATAAATGAGTTTTATTTGTTTGTCTAGTTGCGTAAAGGAAATATATTAATGAATTTAATTTTAGATACAAACAAAGCTCAAAAACATGAAATTAGTGAATTAATATAAATGAATTTATACCTTGAGCTGCTTAATTTTTAACACCAAGAGTCAATATAACCCTGGTGAGATTATTCTCACGGAATATGTTTATAAGGCCAAAATACCTTTGAAGTCTTCAGACACAAGGAATCGTAAATTGAATCGTAAATCGAGTAAAATTCATAGATCAGAAGTAGGCTATTGGCTGAATTTCAATTACACACTCATCGTAAGATTCACTTGAGAGCTTCGATGGATTTGACAAGCGCTAAGCGGCTATCTTAAGTTTATATGTTTGAGTTGAGGTGGCCGGTCTAACCGGTCCGTTGCACAATTACTAAGGAAAACCATTTTCCAATTAAAAATCAATTAGCGCGCCATAAATCGTGGCTGCAATTGAGTGAAGCGACGGGCGGGTAAACAAAATAGCCAGGCGGAAAATCGAGCTGGGGCCTGAAATCAGTTTCGGAATCGGAGGAAATTCCAGACGCGGTGGCGTTGGTGGCCAAAATGGGGCAGATGAAAATGGGCTATTCCACTGTATACTCTACGGATTGGCTGAGGAAATCCGAGAGGTGACAAAGAGGCCAGGAAAGCCGTCCCAAGGCGCCGCTGTCAACGGTGCGAATGGGCCTGGGAATGGTTATGGGAACGAGAATGGGAATGGTTATGGCCAGACCCGGGACAGCGTCTATAACAATGACATTAACAATTAAAAATATTAATAATCATAAACGTAATTGTTCAATAAACAGCGGCGCGTATAAATAAGCACAAAAACATACAAAAACGAGAAGCTGAAAAAAACAGCGCAGACTGAAACTTATGATGACATAAAAATCATAAAAACAATTCAAAGCGTACCATAAAGATACTCACACACACACTCAAAGGGGACGAGCGCCATAGTTTGCCCAAGTATCTGGCACTGTGTGTGTGAGTATCTGTGTGTGCATTCGAAAGTGGTTCCGTGGGGACGCTGACAAGTCTTCGAGTCTTGTTTATCAAGCGACAAAAAATTGTACACTAAACAAACATTTTGCCGCACAAGTATTTCGTGTTTAGTGTGGCTCCTATTTTTTCTCTGCACCATCCCTTCTTGGCGTTCTCGCTTTCGTTTTCGGTAAATAATAAACAAATTTACATATCGCTTGACAAAGAACTTTGAAACATTGTGGCGTGCTCCAGCGCGTTGTTGTTTCAGTTGCCGGCAATTAGCTTGAATTTGAATGTGAATTTGAATTCCTATTCCTAGCTGGCTCAAATTGTTTGCCGGCAAATAAATTTCATGATTTTGCTGCTGTTGACCATTCAAGTTTTGTGGGATTGGAGAACTTTTCCCGCCTTTGACTTGTTTGTTGACTTTTGGCGCGCAAATTCCGTTGTGTATTTGTCTTCGAGCGGAATTAGTGGAAATCTTGTGGGTTTTCGTAAACTTTATGGGACTGTGTGGGGATATTTAAATATTAATGGTCCAGCACTAAAATTTAAATATTATTTCGCCATTGTATAAAAATACCTTAACGAAGTTTCTCAACATTGTTTCACTATTTTGTATGTACAAAAAAGAAAGGTTTTTTTTTTATATATAGTAAGAAGATATGGATGTCAAATCGATGTTTATCGATTGTAAACTTCTCTACCAGAATCCCACATTTCTTGGTTAAAATGTTGCTTGAAAAATAAAGACATATAACGAAAAAGGCGTCCACCAATGTGTATGTGTATTTATGCCATCGTATATTTATCTCGTTCTCTTATTCAAGAGAGAAGAAATTTCAGTGGCTGGCATATGTTTTATGCTGATTTGTTTATATTTGGTATGAATTTTCGAAACTAACTTCCCGGATGGCATGTTGAGAGATATATAAACAAAGGGCAGACGAAGATATAGCAACATGCTCTGAAATGAGGAATATTTTTGGGGCCGCGAGAATTTAGTGATGGCTCAACAAATTCTTCCCAACGCAGGCTACGGAAGTTCATCGTTTTGCGGAGACGATCTTTCGCGCATTTAGCGCAAATTGCAATGTACCTCGGGTTAAGTAATATCCCCAGGGAGCTGTTTCCAGCGCTCATTCCCGCCCAACTACCAAGGATATGCAAATGCGTGGAATTCTTTGAGCGACGACGAAGACTAATTAAACTTTGAAAGTAAAGCCGCTTAAACGCTGTTCCGACAAGACTCACGGGTAACATCTGGCGCTTTTGTGTGGCTTTTAGCGAAAAGGGGGAGGATGGACAGGATGTTCAGGATACACAGGATGCTTGGGGGAGTGGCAGGTAAGCGCCGCCATTAAATTGCGCTCATGCTCGACTTTTTGGGGGTGGCTAAAAGCGGCGGCAGCAGCAGCAGCAGCTCCCGGTTGCCATTGCAAATAATTTATGTTTATTAAATTTATTTAAATTTAATCAGTCGCACAGCCATTTCGTACGCCAGAGGGCGAGGCAAAGTGGGTGGTGTCTTGTTTGCGGAAAACCTGGCAGCAGAAAGCCTGCTTTAAGGGGAGTCTTCCTCCTCTGCAATTTATGTGCAGCGCGTTGCCAATGTTGTTGCTTGTGCTATCAGATCTGCCACGCCCCACGCCCCGCACTCCGACATCCCATTTCCCCTGCTAATTGTGTGCTTAATCTTGGAAAATATATGGCAAGCTGTCGCTGTCAGTTGTGTGCCGTTCTGTTCCGTGGGCGAAAGCGGAGAAAATTCC